CAAAAAGCATCCAGAGCCACGCATCTTCCTCCACAAAGCCGACCAACGCCTCCGGTTTTCGGGCCTCCATTCCGATGCTACTTCTGAGCCTTGGAGAGGCACTCGGCAATGGCATTCGCCAGCTTGGAGCGCGCAAATCGATCAACCTTGAGCTGCATGGCAACCAGATTCATCACAGAGCTGTGGCACAAAACCGCCAAGGCATCACGCATCTCTGCAGCACCTTCTCCATGCTGTCCCGTCTGCAGCAAGAAGACCAGTGAGTCCCCGCGCATCTCTTCAGCCATCGGCCGGGTAGGGTGGAATCGCGCAACCACGTTGAGTCGTGGACACAACCTGGTGACAGTCTGGATATGCTCCATGACCTCGTTCTGAGACAGCGGAACCTTGCTGGTGTCCACGATCTGCTTCTGATTGACCGAGTCCCACGTCAAGTAGGACCACACCACGGGGGGTCCCTGCGCAAGCCAACCAAGCTTTTCCATGCGCGCCATGTCGTCGGGCTTGCCCACAACCGTCTCGAGTCGAGACTTGAGCTCCATGAAGAGACAGTAGAGCAGGGCAGCCCGCATGGGTCGATCCAGCTTAGAAGGCTCCGCCTGCTTGATCTGCCGCCATGAATTGGCCGCTGCATAGAGCATAGATGCAACGCTGGAGGGCACATTCAACCGCATGTGCATAACAAAGCTGGACTCCAGCTTGAGGAGATTGATGGAGTCCTCGTGGCGCAGAATGAGCCGCTGCATCATTTCCAGCACATACCACACATGGCGAAGGTCCTTGTCGGATTCCCGGCCCCCCGAGCCACGGTCTGCCTTCCAGTCCGAATCTTTCCAGCCGCTGCGATTGCCCCATCCAGAGCCAGAGCCCGCACCTCGATTCCAGCTAGAGGCTTGGCCCTGCGTACCAGCACCCTGCGGTCTCTTGACACCAGGGTTGCGTCCGCCTTTTCCATTGCCATTGCCCTGGCCACGGCCGTCCGTGCCTTTGGAGTCCTCTGTCCTGGCAGCCTTGGCTTCCCGTTCACGAGTCGCCTCCGTGGCCTCCGTAGAAGGCTCCGAGGGTGGAGCAGAAGCCGCCGCGGGAGGCGGCATGCCATTTGGCCAATACGCCTGGAAGAAGGCCCACTCCTCCGCACCCTCAACCTCCATGCTGTCCGGCCCATTGCGGTCATCAACAGCCTGTTGAGAGGAAGGAAGCGTCATCGGGAGAGGCAGCGAGGCTTCGATGCTCATTCACTGGCAGTCTGAGCCGGCACCAGCATCAAAAGATATGATGTCCGCTCAAAAGCAGCGCTCCACTCGACCGCAACGGCATCACAGGAGTCATCGGTGTGCCACCATTGACCCTCAATCCTGAGAAGGGCACGATAGTGCCCGCTATTCATCGTCTCCCCGATGTGCTCGATCACCGCTGCCAACCTGAAGAGCTCCCACTGCACTTGCATGCCAACTTGAAATACAGGGAAGCGCAAAAATCTCGGGTGAATCACACGATTGTGAAGTTTGCGGCCCCCGCCATATCGAGCAATTTGCAGTAGCAGAACACCTGGAACATCAACCAGCGCATGCAAGTATTCTTGACGATGCCAACGACGTATCAGAAGTTCCAAAGTAGGTTCCGCGCCATGCACCGCCAGAGCAATCGGCTGAACACCCTGATGAGGCACAACTAGCTGTTCATCCTCAAAAGTACGAGACTCCCAGCATCCAAAAGTAAGGTCCATGCCACCAAGGAGGCTGAGAGCGAACTCAGCGGCATCATGCTGCCTCCCGTCAAAGGCCCAGGCCGGAAGCATAGCACGCAT